GACGGGTGAGAACAAGGTTAATGTGGTCGAACAAGGCAAGACTGGTGAGAACAATGTTAATGTGGTCGAACAAGGCAAGACTGGTGAGAACAATGTTAATGTGGTCGAACAAGGCAAGACTGATGAGAACAATGTTAATGTGGTCGAACGAGACTGGTGAGAACAATATAAATGTGGTCGAACAAGGCAAGACTGATGAGAACAATGTTAATGTGGTCGAACGAGACTGGTGAGAACAATGTTAATGTGGTCGAACAAGGCAAGACTGATGAGAACAATGTTAATGTGGTCCAACAAGGCAAGACTGGTGAGAACAATGTTAATGTGGTCGAACAAGACTGGTGAAAGAAACTGTTGGTTATTTATTCGCTGCTGCTTATACATATTTTGTTTGTTTGTGTATTTTAGCGCAGAACTAAACAACAGGCTTTTGCGCTCTGTCCGCCACATGGAATCGAACCTCGGATTTTATTGTTGTAAGTCCATAAAATTTAACGCTGACCTACTAGGAGACGCTGATAACTAATCAACGAAAACAGTTTTTTAATCAAACTTTAACAGAAAGAAGCCAATCTGCAGGAGAGTAACACATAAAAAACATTCAAGAAATCTTGTAAAGTAGTTGAGTAGAAAAGAACAGAGCGATTTCTCATCCTAAGAATGAACAGAGGAAAAGTGAATAATTTTCTTACACTTCAATTCATAGCACAAGGACAAATTCGATGGATAAATACAGTTGAGTAACCTCGTACACAACAACGTTATTTAGATAACTTCTAAATAACATATATAAATCAGACAGAAATTTCAATTCATAAATAAAACAGAAAATAACTTGTGAGTATTCGTTAGGTTTGGTTTGAATTTCGTGCAAAGCTACACGAGGGCTATCTGCGCTAGCCGTCCCTAATTTAGCGGTGTAAGACTAGAGGGAAGGCAGCTAGTCATCACCACCCACCGCCAACTCTTGGACTACTCTTTTACCAACGAATAGCGGGATTGACCGTCACTTATAACGCCCTCACGGCTGAAAGGGCGAGCATGTTTGGTGGGACGGGGATTCGAACCCACGACCCTCAGATTGCGAGTCGAGCACCCTAACCACCTGGCCATGCCGGGCCTATTCTTTAGGAAACTACACCTATAGCTTGGTCTTCACATTCTAAAAATGAAAAATTATTCAGATCGCTCTGGATAGTTACACTTATATCCAGCCAGCTCAGATTATGTTTAATACGTATATACTTAGTTCCTCTACATTCACGCGTGGCTAAATATTGAGGTTGAAAATGTGTAAAGCACGTGCTAAAATAAATAACACCAACCCCTTTAATCACGTGCCTTCACCATCTAATAAAAACGTTTTTAGTGCATAGTTAGAGAATCGGCTATCTACGCTTTATCCACTGCTAGAAACTGATCCCCAGGTTTTCGCGTTGCAAATTCAAAAACCTACCACTGACTCATCGGGGGGCAAAACTAACAAACATGAAATCAAAGAACTTCTTATCAGTCATACGTTACGTGTAGGTATCTGTCGTAATGTTTTTGTATTATGAATACAGAAACAAAATTGTTTTAGCATTTAGTTAGAAACAGACAGATGGATGGAAAAATAAGACAGATCTATAAACAATCGGAAAATATTCAAACAGAGAGACAAACAAGCAAAAAGACAGACAAACAGATAAGCGTGGTTTGAAAAATGATGGGCATACAGAGACTGGCATACAACTTGAAATACCAGCAGTTGTACATGTCAATACAAAAGAAAAATTATAAACAGGAATAGTTAAAACCAATACTTGATTGACTGGAGTTATTTTTTTATAGTTAATTAAATTGATAAAAACAACGATATCAGTATCTTCATGAAATGCATCTGGCAAAATTTAAAGAATCCAACTTTTGTGTTTATTATCCCTGCATTTTTTTATAAACTGATAAGAAAAACACTGATAAAACGATCGAATGTCATTCATTTATTGCTGTTTTTGTCATGAAAGCATGTTATATCTTTCTGCTGTGAATAATATTTTAAAAATAATTTGATCAAATATGCTGTATACGAAGTTTGGTTGAATGGTTTCAGAATTTCGCTTAAAGCTACCCACAGGCTGATCTTACTTTTCTTCTCTTGTTTTGTTTCGCACAAAGTTACAAAATGGGCTATCAGTACTCTGCCTACTGCAGGTATCGAAAACTCGATTTTCAGCGTTATAAGCCCTCAGGCTTGCCGTTGAACCACCGGATGGCAAGGCTGATGCCGTCACTAATTCTGAACTGATAGACTAGTGAAGCCTACTAGTCAACAGCACCCATCGCCTTCTCTTAGGCAACCATGAATCTTCGATTTTACAATTCGACCACACTTACCAATACAGTCCACACCTGGTCTCGCTATGAAGAAAATAAATACTGTCAGGTTAAAGAACCAAGCGGAAGTATCTACACCTTACAACGTAGCACCTGAATGGACTTATATTATCCATAAGTAGCAATGGCGTCTAACGTCTGGATATTCAAGTGACTGACGTCTGGATATTCAAGTGACTGAAAATGAGAGAAAGAATCAGGTTTTATCAAAATCGTAATAAATGAGAGACCTTATTAACTGATTTTCTCTAATTTTTAGAACTACTGCTTTTCTTATTAATGTTATTGTCTGGTTGCAAAGCTACACCACGGGCTATCTACGTTTTGTCCACCGCGGGGAATACAACCCCGGAGTTTAGCGTTATAAGTCCCGTAAACTTAGCGCTGACCCACCAGGGTGACTTTCATATTAATGAATGTAAGATGTTGTTTGTACCGGATATTTACTCATAGCTACATAAGTGCTATTTGTGCTTAGCCGTCTGATAAACTATAGGGAAGGCAGCTAGCTAGTCAAGAGCACCCACTGCCATGGCTTTGTCTGACTAGATAAAGTGACTCGATCGTCTCTCTTATAAAGCACCCACGGCCTCAAACTTTGGAACGAGTTTTTGTGGCAGCTGACCGCATGCCACGAACCACATGATTCACAGTACGAGCACGCGAAACACTAGTCCATGCCCTATTAAGGTTATTAAATTGCTATTAAGGTTATTATGAAGAACTGCAATAAATGTAATACTCCTTTAAACGAATCGACCACAATTAACCCTTTCAGTACCGTTAGGTTATATTTGTCTCACCGTACGCTTGTGCGAGATTGTTGGACAAGTAACACTTTGATTAAAGTTTGTTCTTGCGTTATTTTCACATTAGAATGTATACATAACATGTTTACATGAACAGCTACTGGGATACATGTAATCCAACAACAATGCCTTGTGGAACACATAACAATGCTTGATGAAATCTGGGACACGTGTTCCACATGCAAATTTCAGAAACCATGCGCGCGAAAAATTTCCAAAAACGCAGGTAGCATTCCTTCTGTATCCTAAGTCATTTATACTTATTTGTATCATTTCTCTTTGAAGAATACAAAAGTCTTACTGAAAGGCTACTAAAATCAACGAAGTACTATGGTCCACTGGATAAAAAAACAAAGTTGAAACTCCGAATTATTTCCAATGATTTTAATATTATATTTTTATATAAAGTACAAGTTTAGTTATTCAATTTTTTTATAATATTACTACAAAAACCTCTCTCCTATCTTCTAAATTCTTTACTCATTTTCTGACATGGAGTCATCGTGAAGGTTGTAGCAACACCATCTTATAGGAACACCTACTAATCAAGTTTAGTTTCTTCTGACATGGAGTCGTCGTGAAGGTTGTAGCAACACCATCTTATAGGAACACCTACTAATCAAGTTTAGTTTCTTCTGACATGGAGTCATCGTGAAGGTTGTAGCAACACCATCTTATAGGAACACCTACTAATCAAGTTTAGTTTCTTCTGACATGGAGTCATCGTAAAGGTTGTAGTCACACCATTTTAGAGGAACACCTACTTATCAAGTTCGGTTTCTTCTGACATGGAGTCGTCGTAAAGGTTGTAGTCACACCATTTTAGAGGAACACCTACTTATCAAGTTCGGTTTCTTCTGACATGGAGTCGTCGTAAAGGTTGTAGTCACACCATTTTAGAGGAACACCTACTTATCAAGTTCGGTTTCTTCTGTCACGGATTCACCATGATGGTTGTAGTCACACTGTTACAGATAGACACACAATATTCAAGTTCAGTTTTTCTCTGACATGAAGTCATTATGAAGGTTGTTGTCACACTATTACAGATAGACACCTAATATTCAAGTTCAGTTTCTTCTGATATAGAGTTACCGTAAAGGTTGTAGTCACAACATTTTATAGGAACACCTACTTATCAAGTTCAGTTTATTTTGATATAGAGTCACCGTAAAGGTTGTAGTCACACTATTACAGATAGACACCTAATATTCAAGTTCAGTTTCTTCTAATATAGAGTTACCGTAAAGGTTGTCACAACATTTTATAGGAACACCTACTTATCAAGTTCAGTTTATTTTGATGTAGAGTCACCGTAAAGGTTGTAGTCACGCTATTACAGATAGACACCTAATATTCAAGTTCAGTTTTTTCTGACATGAAGTCATTGTGAAGGTTGTAGTCACACCATTTTCGAGGAACACCTACTTATCAAGTTCAGTTTCTTCGGAAGGTGCTGAATCAAACAAGTATCTGACAGTGTTGAACATAACACAGTGATATCTTTAATGCGAAATCGTCGATTTGCACGTTCAAAAATCGGAAAGGTTGGTACAAATATGTTTGAGGCAAGGAAAAACTGTACAGAGTTAAGGTAGACAAACGTGAAGAAGTCGCAGGGGCAACAGGTTTCAACTACGAACGAGTTTCAATAAAGAACACAGCTGCCCCCCCCCCCGTTCCACAGATGAAAAATGAGACACCCTCTTCTTTCAATCATTAAGGGAGAGAGGGGGCTGTGGTGTCCCTACAGAAGGAGGCAGTACAAACGATTCTTCACGATAGGGTGCTAAGCCTTACCTGTCGGACAACAACCTCATTTATCTCATTCCTGCACACAGTATGGACAGTGAGGTCGATTTCGTTGAAAATTTGTTATTATGTTTTCAATTTTTAAAATGTCACAAGATAAAACATATGTTTAAAGTAATTCATGTTTGTTTTACAGCTTAAAGACACGAAAATAAAGTGATGTCACAATTAAAAATAAACAACTGCCTATCGTAAAACAAAAACTGAAAACCAACAACAGGAATTTAGGTTACCCGTTAAAAGATAGATAGACGAATCCAAACATAACTTATGTTTGTATAAAGATGGCCAATGAACTGTTTTACTGCCATGGGTATATATATATATATATATATGTGTGTGTTTCCA